AAACAAGCATTTAGTACATAAACTCTTTTCCCAATGCTCAAACTTCTAGAAAGGTTAAAAATCATGAGATAAGTATATATTTTTCGACAAATGCGATTGTACAGTAGCTTTCTGTCATGCACCGCCATAACACTGAAATTCAAAATACGCTGGTTTCCAAATAAAGCACGCTATTGAACTCTAAAACTGTAAACAGATATAAATTTACCGCCTCTTATGCCCAATGAGGAGAAAACCTTTGGTGGCTCTTTAATTTTGGATTTTAGAAAATGATGACATCATGTGAAAATGATTTATAGCCACCTGGTCAGCCTCTAACCAGTTACATGTAGTTTTCAGTTCTATTTATAATATTTAGTTCTTGATTTATAGTCTTCCCAATTAGTACATCAATGTTAAATAAGAGTGGTAAATAAAGTGATTTATTTATTTAAGCAATGTGGCACATGATAGGGTCACCATACAGGGCAAATTGGGAAACAAGATGTGATTCAACTCTCATTGTAATAATGAGTGGTTACACAGTGGACATGTGACTCCTATGTTAGGACATTTATTTGTGGTATCCCATTGCTGAGCCTTTCAGTAACATGCTAATAGACCTTATCGTGGTTTTCGATACCATCTTGATGGGTAGGATAGGTCAGAAATTATGGCTAGAAGGTGCTCAGTTAATTGTTCTAATTTTCCATACATTTGTCTGTAAGTTTTTTTCCATGAAGTGTGTCTAGATGTCTGTCTACCCAGCCAAATTTTACACGCAGACAAATGCATGGAAAATTAGAAAAATTGACTGAGCGTCTTCTAGCCAAGCTTCATCCTCCAAACTTGGTGAATACAATCTTTTACCTAGTATTTTAGAGTTGCAATTCACAAATTGTGAAAAATTCGATTTTGGAAAGAGTTATTTGCCATCGGATTCCCATACAAACACTGTAATTTCTGATTGCTTTCCCCACCCGTCAAGATGGCATCAAAAACCGTGATAACGTCTATTCATCTCAAACAATGGTCAGAGAACTGCTTTTTTAATGAGGTCTGGTCATGAATAATTTGGTTGAAATAGGGTCTAATGACTCTATGTACAGTGCGGAGGTTTTATTTTAACATTTTCTACCAGAGGGCAACTGGTTTTCACAGGTGGATAAGGAAAACATTCCTCTAGATGGTCAAACCATGTAGGCAAAATCATCCTCACAGCCAGTCCATTTGGCCGGAGCCTGGCCATTAATGAAACTCCCAACAGTGTATGAATTTAGATTTAGCAAAGTTATGGATTAACCTTTTGAAAAAAATTACTAGCAATTCAGATCCCAGTGGTGTGACATACTGGTAGCCAAGGTTTTAGAATTTAGATGATCACTTATAGGTAGGATGATTGACTGGGAAACTTCTTGTTTTCCACTGCCATTTTGGTCTCTAGTCAGTTGACATGTTTAAGTACTTCATTCAGTCTGAAAGGTGACCACAGGACAAAGTGAACCATAAGCCATGCGCAAAAACACTGCCCTTAAGGAAAATTATGATTTATAGAGGGAATAGATAATAAAATGAAAGATGACACCATTTAAATGGAAGTTGATAAAGATTTGAAAAGGAGATAAATAAACATTTTTCAGGATTTCTTGGGAATTTCTTGAAAATTCCCATTAATAGTAGAAGTATCGTTTGTTCCCTCAAGTTAATTCTAATATATATATATTTTTTGTTCCCTTGAAAATATGAGAGACAGATGCTCTCCTCCTGACCAAGAACTGTTGAAAATTACAGTAACTGGAAATACTTTTTCTCTTCTTCTCTGGGCTGAATATACTTATATCAACATGCTTTTAAACTGCACACATGACAATTTTTTTTTCCTTATTGTACAAACCATGCTTTGGTTTATCAACAGATACAACTTTAGCTAGATTCCTGATGAACATTTCAGTTCACATGTAGTTGCAACATTTGTTCATAATACCTACAACGTTTATTCAATGGAGAGTACTGACATACTAATAAGTAGTCTTCATAACCACCTGTGGGCTTGTTTTTGTTTAAAACCAATTGGTTTGGTAGCCTATTTATATAGAAACATATTGATCAGAAATATTCTATACTACATGTAACGTGTATTTTAAACTTTGTTGAGCCTTATATTCATCTGAAAAATTGTCCATGTACATAAGAATATATGTACACACCCTTTTTGATAGGTTTACAGATAATACAGTATGTGCAGACACTTTGTGTTTTGTAGTAGGGCATGAATGCATTTTGCATGTTTTGGTAGAAGCTACACAAGAGAACAGTACTTTTTCCATGAATTTGTTTTTAACAGAAGAGTAAACAATCAGAATTTGGTGGTCTTAGTAGATATAATATGTCAGAGATTCTCCTGCTTAAGTGGAAAATGAACAGTAATGAAATTTGGGTACATACCTAGTAAAGAGTGCTTAAATAGTGATTGTCAAAATGGATGTCTGAATGATCAATGGTTTGAATCCAAACAGGATACAATCGCCTGAAACTCACATGGGCAAGTGGTTGAGTTATTTCCCATTAGATTTGAGACACTTAAGTGCAAATCTGATGTTTTCGAGGTTGAATCGTTGTTAAACTCATCACAAATAGATGAGCTTGAAAAATGGTGCCTAAAAGGTTAGCAGGGTGCCAAATGCAATATGCAGTAGGGTGGTATCCATGACAACCCTGGAAGTGCAATTCGCTAAATAAGAGCCATTCGCTAACTGGCACTGTCACACTAAAAGATATCAGTGGAAACAACTTACTTGACCGAATACTTTCCTAGAAACCATCATACCAAGAGGGAGGGAGGAGATGGACCAAGAATCGGCACAGATTTGCTAGCATTAGCTGTGAAGTGATGTGCAACGATCAGCTCTCTGAACTGCACATGTATACATGTTTATTCAATGTCATGAAATGTAAGGGCTCTGCAAATCCCCTGAGGGCCACCCCACAGGTCATGCACCGCCGAGGGGCAGACTGCTGACTACATTGGCTTGAGTAAGATAAGATGAGATTAAGCCTGAATAATATTTAGCCAAATGAACCTTATTTTTTACGTTTTTTGGGGGTTGTGAAGGCAGGCAGAATTGGCAATCTCCTGGATGTAGGTTGGCATCTCTGTACATGTCAGTGAAATGACAGTATGAAACACAAAACAACAGAACTTACAGGAAGGCTTATTACATGTATATGAATTTTGTATTCATTATTAGGTTTTGGTACATAACTTGGAAATTTTTGAAACTTTATTGGATTGAAATTAAGTAATTGTTAATTACAGCACTTCAAAATATAGAAAAAAATGAAGAAGAAACGAATCATCATTTTCACTAAGAAGACAGACACTTGAACACTGTAAGTAGTAGTGTCAGTTACAAAATACTATTTGATTTGAACTATTCAGTATTCAGTATGTTTAAGAGGAATCAGGGTTGTTGCTAAGCATGGGCAACTGGCAAAATTTGTCAGCTGAGAAATAGGTGGGTGCTGGATGGGTTTTGGCTTTCAGTTACCTGGTAAAGGGTAACTGTTTTAGCACTTGTTTAGCTTGTTCTCTTTCCATGTCCTTCGTCCACCATCTTGTACACGCAAAGTCTGGTAGCCTTGAATTCAAGACATTGAATGGAACGAAATTTTGTTACCAGGCCCCAGTTGTTCAAAGGGTGGATAATGCTATCCACTTGATAACTGTTGTTATATAACAAACTACGTTATCCACTGGGTAGTAATTTATTCATTGGATAGCATTATTGCATATTAGAAAACAGCCCTACAAAAATATGTGCGCTGATTGGTTAAAAATTGTGTTTCTATAACTCGATGGAAACACAGAACTAGCAATAGCTGTTGACGTAATGATGGGGCGTGCAAAGAGAAATTACATTTTGATGATCAAAGTAAACAAGTTGTTTTCCTTTTTTTCGTTGTGGTGTTTTCTAAAAGAATTAGGAAACATGTTCTCCGTGTTTCTATCAAGTTGTAGAAACACTCGTGAAAGTTTGGGAGAACTCGAAAAAGCTGTGGAAACACTCGCCTGTGGCTCATGTTCCCACAGCATTTCTCATTCTCCCAAACTTCCACTTGTGTTTCTATAACTCAATAGAAACACGGTACATGTTTTCTGTTTCCTAAAGGGTGCACAGTGCAATACAACGTAATCGCCTGATGATGATTTCTGCTCAGACACTTACAGTCCTTTTCCTATCTCCCTTTGACCAAACACAAACACTGTTCAACTATTGAATAGATACTCCAAAGTTCAAATCATTCACCACAAATGATGATCTGCTCATACTCATTATGTCATATCATGTTTTGGTTGTGGGCTTTACACACTTCATAATATTCTGTTGGTGCACATTTTCATCCAACTTTGTTACCGGTGACAGGCAGACCTGTAGACACCCTTTGGGCTGGTTATGCAATCCTTCCTCCCTCTCCAGTGATCAGTTCCACGTGTGTCTTTGTAACTTCTCTTTACCTTTTTTCGAACAACTTTAAGCAGGCAGATAATGAGAATCAAGGGCCTGATTTTATCGAGAATAATGTGTTGGCCACAAAGTAAATTCTGCCAAGAAGGATTAAAGGAAGTGCAAGAAACGCATTGGGAGAATTTGCATGCTGGGTTTAGGACGTCAAGTCTTCAAAGAAAAATGTTTGCTGACTATTGCTGCTTCTTGTTAACAATTTGCTCACTAACTTTAACTACAAACATTTTTATTGTTGTGAACTGTCTACAGAGTTAATATAAGATAAATGTAAAAAGAGAAATATTTGTTACATATGGCTATGGAAAAAATAAAAAAAAATTGGGTGCTGGTTTACCAGAGTAGCCATTGGCCTTTGAGCTGGTTACCACCATGTTAAGGTAAATGCGGTAGAACAAAAGTACATTACAGAAGAATACATTATTGAAAATACAATACTGAAATACAAGTGACTATCATTAAGCATTTGTCTAAAATTGTGTCTGTTTTTGATCATAGGCATACCCACAGACAGGCATGCCATTTGGTGCAGGCCACTATGCAAGCATGCAGCAACAGTTACCCACAATGAGTCCCCAGCGACAACAACAACAACAGCGGAGTTCTGGTTATCCTACCATTACTCCAGGCCAGATGAGAAGTCCAAACAATGGAATGATGCAGCCCGACATGGATTTAGTGCTGCACCAGCAGCAGTATCAGCAGCAGCCCCAACAGTACGGCAATGGTAACTACCAAGGCTACAATGGTGGCTACCAGGGACCTAGACCCGTGTCCTCCCAAACGCATTCCCAAACCATGAGTCCATACCAGACAGGTTTTCCATCAGAGACTGTGTACCCTCCAGGAGCCAGTGGTAGCCAGACTATGGGAGAGTTTGGTCCTCAGGCAGGTCCTAATCAATCCTTGGGAATGGCTGGTCCAGCTTCGTTAAGTCTGGCCGCCATGAGTAACAGGCAGCAGTACTATTCTGATGGCTATGGAATGAATCAGCCTGTGTCTCCAGTGCACAAGCAGATGCCACAGGGAGGGGGATTTCTACAGCCATCTGGATTGCCCTACTCTCAACAGGTCCCAACGTATCACTCCGGTTCATACCCTAAAAGGCCGCCGTCCTCACCAGTGCAAACTCAGATGCAGGGGTTTAGTTCTGGCGGATCATCTTATGCACCCAGATCAAATGCAGGAATGCAAATGCCTAACATGCCATATCAGTCCTCCACCAACCCATACCAGCCTCCGCATTCTCCAAGTAGAAGGTCCTCCTCCACATCTCCAGTGCCACAACAAGACCCAGGACTGTACAGCAGACCTCATGAACCCTTTCCACAGCCGAGGTCTCCATTTGGTCCAAGTCAGGCACATTTCCAGCAACAACAGCTACAGCAGCAAAGTTCCTGCATGTTTGTTCAGCCCAGCACGACTTTGCCACAGTCACACTATCAGTCACAGCAACTGATGGGTGGCACCAAGACTGGAGGCCTAACCCAGCGCCGAGCATCGTACCCCGGACAACAGAACACACTAAAGATGCCTTCCCCTCCTCTCAAGAGATCTCCTCCATCTAAGGCACCTTCACCAAACCCCAAAAGCCCAGATGCCACAAGGGCAGGCCAGCTTGGATTCGAAGAGAGAGGTTCCACCAAAAAACCTGTGGCAAAGAAAGAGAAGGCTTCTTCTCCGCGAAGCAGTGATCCCAGTGAGGGAATTTTGGAAACAACAGGAACCGTGTCAAATGCTGTACAGTGTTCGTTTAAACAGAAACCAACTGCTTCAAAGAAAGTGGGTGAAGGCCAGAAAGGTGTACCTCGCCAGAGAAGAAGCGCCTCCGATGCTGACCGCCCATCTGTGTCACCTCCGACCATTAAAAAGGACTGCACAGATGGAAATAAAAGTAAGACAGAAGAAAAAACGAGAGACAAAAGAGATGCCTTCAAAAACGTCGAAGGGCTGGATAAGGCCGAAACGGCGGAAAGGAAATCTAACGAGCAAAATGGGTCAAATAGAATCACGAAGACAGAGGCTTTAAGGCGGCAAGGTGGTCAGGAAGAGATAAGTTTGCAGAGTTCATCGGTCAGTAAGGAGGATGAATCTTGTGGCAATGTTGGGGAGGATCAAAGCCTAAGTGAAGTGAACAGGACAAAGCCAGATAAAGGAGTAGGAGAAGACACAACCTCAAAGGCTTCACTGCTGATTGCAAATATCAGTGAAGAGCGTAAAGAAAGTGAAACTGTCACGGCGGAAACTGGCGAATCAGACAGTAATGTTAAAGATGCAATCCGAGAGTCTGACAAAAGTAACGCTTCTCCGACTAAGAAAGTGGAATCCAACGTAAAAGACGAGGTTTTGGCTAGCGAAGCCACTGAAAAAGTTAAAGAAACGTTATGTGAAGGCAGCGACATTTCTAGTGGTAAAAATGTTTATTGTAAAGAAGGCGAATCGAGCAGTAAAGTGGAACACCAAAGAGTTAATAAGGAAAGTGAAGCTGCCAATCCAGAAAAGAATGTCAAAGCTGATGATAAAAGTCAAAGAACTGGTGCAGAGACAACTAGAACCTCTAGTGTAACTGATAAAGCTGAGGACAAAACAAATAAAGCTGATAGTAAAACTGGCGAAACTATTGACACCTTTGGCGAATTAGATAGCAAATCTGCGCAAAACGTCTCGGAACTAGGAACCACCAGTCAACTAAGCGATGAAGCCGTTGATTCGTCAATCAATGCCGGTAGAGAGACTGGAAAATTAGACAAAACGGGAGAGGAAACGAATCGTGATACCCCTGCTGCGGATGTTGATAACACGAATACTGTCGGTGAAGATAAGGAAAGGGACCTTGACGATAAGACAAATAAAATTACAACCAAAGATACTGAGGAACCTGAAAAGCTTAAAGAATTGGTCAGCAAAGAGAAGGTATTAGCAGAGAAAGATGAAGCAAGCAACAAAGCAGATGCTTGCGAAGGAAGCGGTGAGGCTAAGGAGGAACTACCCTCTAAGAGTAGTGATGCTGAACAAGCTGTGAAAGTCCAGAAGAAGGAAGGCAAACCGGCTGTGCCTTCTTTGAGATGTGAGGAACGCTTGTCGTCAGATGATGATGACCGCCTGCTACATAAGACTCCAGAGAAATCAGAAAGCGGCAGCGCTCCTGTGGTCGAGAATAGAACGCTGGGAATTCAGACAGTACAGCAGCCCACAGCCACAGCTCGCACCACCCAACAACAGGCGGCTCCCATCAAGGCTACCATCATCGCCAAGGGCAAGTCTTCTCAGAACAATCAGCAGGTCATGGTGGCCAAGACCACGTCTGGACAGATGTACCTCATCCAAGGCAACATTTTGGTGCCGGTGCAGACGGTCAGCTCCAAAGATGACGCATCCAAGCAGAATCCCCAGTTGATTATTGTGAACCCGGTGAAAACAGGTTCGGGTCAGCAAGGGGCGAACAAACAACTAGCAGCTGCAACTAAGGGAGATGATGGAAACGAGGCATCTAAAGAAAGGAAAGACGAACGAGTTCAGACTGGAAATTCCCAAGGCAGTCGAGACGACAAGGCATCAAAATCAATAGTTTCAGTCAAGGAAAAGGCCGACACTGAAAGCCCTTCTGGTAATAAGAAGAGCCACGAAACTGTTCAAAAGCCGGAACGTCCGCCCAATAGCAAAATGACTGTTAAGATTGAGAAATTACCGACTTCGAAAGTTTCTAAAATGTCACCGACACAGGCTGAAAAAAGCGACATCACAGCTGCAAAAGAGAAACAAAATAACAACTCCGAATCTCCTCGAGGAAAACACGATCCAGACTCGAAAACTCCCAATAAACACGAAGAAAAGTCTTCTCCATCAGAACAGACAAATCAAGGGTCAACACCAAAGTTGCCACGCGGCCGGCCCGTAGGAAGCAAAGACAAACAAAAGCGAAAATCATACGTTCATAAAGTGAAGCGAAAGCAAGATGAAATGGAAATTGAAGAATTGAACGCGCAGGAACTCGCGGCGAAACGTAAATTTTCAAAAACTGCCGTCGCTGTTCAAGAAATGTCCTCGTCTGGCGCATCTTCGGCTGCGTCCAAACGACCTCTGGAAGTTCCAACGGTGAGTGCGAGTAAATCTCCGAAGAAACGTAAAGTGTCCACGTCGAGTTCACCGGTGAAACACATCTCAACCAGACCTCGTGGCGGCATCGATGGCGACTCTTGGGTGTGTTCCCTCTGCGGTAAGGGAAGCGGTTATAACTTGTTAGGCGATCTCTACGGACCTTACAAAACAAAATTCTCTAAAGAGAAAACCGACAGTACTTCGAAGGAAGGCAAACAGTCGCAGAAATTGTCCTCACCTGGTCGGAAGTCGAGCTCGAGCTCAGACGTGCAATTGGATGGTGAAACCTGCGACGTAGACTTGTGGATTCATCGAGATTGCGGAGTTTGGTCGCCGGGTGTCTTCATGCTTGGAAGAACCATCCATGGTTTGGAGCAAGCTGTGGAAAGTGCGGCACAACACGTAAGTCAACTCAATTTTCTGCCTTATGCAAGATCTTCGGTATCTTATTGTCTCATTGCTTTACAGATGCGTTCCCTAACGTTAAACTTGTAGTATAGTGACGTTTCGGATTCGTTTATGTTGCTGAATTTATCCTAGACTGTTTGCGGTCGGCTTTTTCTCTCAGAGTCCAAAGAGCGTTTATCTTTGAGAAGCGTAGTCTTCTTCGCAGCCGTTATTAGGGTCGTGTTGCTTGACGACCCTAATAACGCCTGTGAAGGAGACGGCATGTGCGAGACCGCAGCCCTGTCTCTTCCCAATCCCTTTCTCGTCTCCGTACTGCTACCNCCCCCCCCCTCGCCTCGCCCCGTACTGTTTCAGCATAGATGGTATGCCCACCTATTTTTCCTCTCGCGCTTTCTTTTGCCTCGTCCTCGACAGACTAAAAGATGGCTAATTGTATCCTCTAATATGCCGGATTCAAATTTCTCCTAACTCGTTTCAAGAGCGGAACGTTTTTAATTCAGAATGATTTTTGCTTTAACACTGCAAAGAGCATCTGTAATTGAATAGTTTGGAACTTTGTTTTGCTCTAATGTAAATGTTGCCAAATTAGAACCTCACAATATGTTATTGAGGAGCTCTGACAAGCCAATGTGGGTTGGGGGAAAGGTGGAGGTGGGGTGTGGGTGTGGGGTGATTTGGGATGTGAGTTGCCATTTTCTTGGTTGACATTCAATACTGTCACGTGAAGATTGTATTGAAGATTGTATTGCGAGTAAACAGAATCAGTGGCTAGAACTGAGGGCTACTAGTCACCTTATGGTCTGAGGAAGATCCACTGAATGATAAGGTGCACTGAACCCGCGGAAGGTTCCATTCAGCCAACCCTTGAATCAATGCTATGGTATGATGATGCCAACGTGGAAGGGCCTGGCAATGGTGTTCACGTTTGTATTAATCCTGTTTTCTCTTGAACAGAAATGCACCAAGTGTTCTGAACTCGGGGCTACCCTGGCCTGCTTCAAACGAGGTTGTAATAAAATGTTCCACTACGCTTGCGCCAGAGATTCAGGTACCCTACAGTTTAGTTGATGATTTTCCTTCTTCTCATTACCGGACTGCTGCTCGACAATGCAATGTTATTTTGAAGTGGCTGTTGATAGGAATCGATACAGTAAAAACCTGCCTGTAAGAACCCGGTGGTTTAAGAACCTGAAAGCAGAAATTTTAAATCCCAAAAATTTAAGAATCTGTTCAGCCAAGCAGGATCAATCAGATTCTTATTTGTGGGTTAAAGTTAAATTACAGTGGAACCTCGATTTAACGAACCTCTATTTAACGAAGTCCTCGATATAACGAACGATGTGCTATGTCCCGGCCAAAGTTACAGTAAAATGTATGGAATAGAACCTCGATATAATGAACCTCGATATAACGAATTCTTCGATATAACGAACATAATCCGGAAGCCCAAACGTAAAATCTACCTCGATATAACGAATTACAGTGTTTCCTTGTTTACATAGACAATTTTCTGTATAACCTCTATGTTGCAACATTTTTAAATCGCTACTCTGGAAGTGTCGCTCTTTTGTAAACAAAAGCTGCGTGTCTGCTCAAAAGTGAGAATAATTGATACTGAAAGCCACCATGCTTAATGAATTGCATCTCAAAACGCGGCACTTCTGGGTGACGAAAATTGCATTGAATTGCGTGTTTACAAATCAATTATTAACTATGACCTCGATACAACGAACATTTTGTTCGTTTCCCCTCAAATTCGTTATATCGAGGTTTTCGATATAACGAACCCTCGATTTAACGAACAAATTTGACCGGTTCCTAGCGACTTCGTTAAATCGAGGTTCCACTGTACGAACTATTGTTGTAGAGTCAACACTGTATGTGCACTCTGTAATCAATTGTGTTAGCCTTATCTTAATACATTTGTGAATATATACTGTATATTTAAGGACCAAACCCAAGTATGTTTATTTTTCTGGTAATCAACAACTGTTTTTCCTTCAAAGCAATTAAGAATCTGCTTAGCCTAAATTGCCAATAACAACCCCAAAATACAAGGATCTTTTTTGCCAGACTTCTAAAAATCTAGGTTTTACACGTTGGTGTTTATTATACTAATAATATACATGAAAAAATTACTCGATTCTGATTGGCTGAGAGCAGTGCAGTTTAAGTGTAACACCAGTGCAAATTACACATCATAATCTGGATTATGATTGGCTGAAAGACAATAGGAAATTTTCTAAGCCAATAATATCACGTAAAATGATGACCAAAATTTTGTGCAGGAACTTTGAAAAAGTTTTCTCCAATGAGAAAACATGGCTTCAAGAAAGATCTTCCGGCAGTTCCTCCATGCGAATTTTTCATGTTTGCATTATTAATAAAAAAAAAAATCACTCGTGCAAATTAATTCCAAATTAAACTCGAAACCGTATGATTACCTATACTTTTAATTATTACTTGTTAGCTCCAGGAAATGCTAAGTAGCACACGAATTAGGCTCTATTTCCGTCGCTCTTTAAGTCCGGCCTCTTTGTTGAGAGTGGAAAAAACATACTGCGCAGCTTTCCGCGCATCTGCGATTGAGGGGCACATCAATCTTGAGCTTACAAGAATTTCATGTCATTAATTTTATAGCATTGATTGTTTTTCTTGGAACTTGATAAAAAAAGCATTGATTCCGTCATGTTGGTGGTCTGTCTAAACTGAGTTTTTCCTTATTTCCAGGTTGTTCATTCATCGAGGACAATTTTACGATATTCTGCTCAACGCATAAGGTATGCATGAAATGTTGCCAAGTTCAATTTACTTTCAAAGAAAAGACAGTACAACTAAATCTTCTTTGTTTTTTTCCTTCAGTAACGACGCCAAGTCCAGATCTTGCAGTGCTCTTCTATTGCGCTCTTCTGCTGTCATCTCCTGCAATTTGTCTTAAACTATTGAGCTCTAAATTTGAAGTCTGCCATCGAGCTGTACTTCTTGTTGTAAAGGAAGCGAGCTGCTTTCTCAGCTGTAATCCCTATTCCCCGTTGTGTTTAGCGCAGTGAGGCTTAAGTTGTTGTTAGGTCTGCAATGTTTAGTTTCGTTTCCGTTTCGCGAAATTTAGACTTTTCATTTGTTGGGCTTTTTTCTTTATTTCAGTGGTCGATTTTCTCACAAAGCCTCGTTATAATCCCTTGAGTGAGCAGCATCCGGTATCTGAATATTTAACCCTTTGATAGAGTTGAAAAACGTAGCAATATGTTGTCTTTACACCCGCTTTTAGTGTCACGTGCATAGGCGACATCTTTCGACCATCTCTGGACATGCCATCTTTCGACATGCTATGTAAACGACTGAAAGACCGTTTAACTGTGAAACTGGCACTTTTTTCGGTTATTAGCGGTACAAATGACAAATAAATGATAATTACCAACCTCAAATGAAGGAAGAAGATTGTCGACGTTGCATGTCTCCCGATTTACGGGATAATTCAAACGATTTTAGTGTGGTCGATTTTAGTGTAGATTGGTTCTCAGTGGCGACTTCTGATAGAATTGGGCCGCTACCGCTCAGTTCGAAAGATATAAACATTCAAAACAGTCGATTTATCCCTCACAGAATGTTTTCTTGATACTCCTAGCCTTAGTTTGATGTCAAGTAAATCCATCTTTCATGACTAAAAGTCGAGTTCGACCGTAAAGAAGTCAGTTGTGCTTACATTTTTGACGTGAGCCAGGTTACATAGCATGTCGAAAGATGGCATGTCGAAAGATAGTCGCTATGCATGTAACGCTGAAAGCGGGTGTAAAGAACAATCACAGACCTAAAGAGTTAGAACCACCTTATGGAGCATAGTACAACTTAACGTACTGGGTCGGGTTTTTCGAAGGCCGGATATGTCACTATCCAGTGGATAAGTGTTAAGGTCATTCACTGAAATAGAACCTGCACTGAGATTCTCGTCAAACTTTGCGTATTGATTTTTATATCATAGGAACTTAAATTTTGAGATAAAAATGAGGGGTCCCCATGTTCGATAATAGCACCATGATTATAGCCACGATTGCGTGCTAAATTCACGTTTCCGACGATTGTTTCTTGTTCTACACTGAGAATTGATCCATATTTATTTTACATGGAGAAATCTATTACTCAATTCAAAGCAACAGAAAAAAATGATAGGTCACCATACTCGTTTTCGAGAAAATGACGATTTACCTTTATGGCGAGGTCAAGCCGTAAAGAAATAGCCGCCACTTTTTAATGCACGCGCGCCAATCACGCGTGAAATTATGCGCAGTAGGGATGCGCAATGCATCACTGGGGAATGACCTTAACAAAACAAACCACGCTATGCACAGGCACTGGATAGTGGTTTATCCGATGGATAGCGTTATCCAGCTTTCGAAAAAACCGCGCCTGATAAATAGGCTTCATTTGAGACGTCTCGCCACTGGGTCTAAAGTCATAACCATGTTGCTCAATTCACGTTTTGACTCTGGGACAATAAAAGGTCAGTTGAGCCCGCGGTTTTAGTGACAGAGGTTGGAAGGCAACGTCATGTATCTGGGTCAGGTCATGTTGCTATCCGATTGGAGCTCTTCGAGTAATGTGAGAATATTGTCAAAAGGCGATGCTTCCTTAAAAGTAATTGCTGCGTTATGCACTGGAATTTGGTGGTACGCTTCGTTTTTCCACCTATGGTCACATGTAACGAGGTCTCAAAATACGAGAATGTGACCGACGTGGAGTGCAAAACAGTGCGCATGCACTTCGGACGTGGGAAAAATTTGATTGTACGTAATAAATATGGTTTTGAGAAGTTATGTTTGACGAAATTTCGGGATAGCGATGGAATGCTGGTTCAGTGCGTTTGGTTTTACATGTAAAGTTAAACAAATTCTAATATAAAACTGTACCCAAAGCGCTACTTTTAAAAATGACGAAGAATGATCCCGTTTTCAACAAATCAACTCGAATTGATTATTTTTCTTTTTGACGGCTGGGTTGATTGAGTCTTCCCATTAAGGTAATTTCCTATCTTTAATTATGTAACCAAGACGATAAAACTGTTTACACTGGCAAGTTGAGTTTACTTTGAAGAAAGAGGTTTTATAAAATAAACATTTGATTACACTGCTTGCTCTCTGCGCTAGCAATGGGCTAGGTCAGGCACTTCTCTAAACCATGCATACAAAGCTCTCTTAACCCTTTGAATACCAACTACGCATATAGGCGTAATTAATGGTCGTGCTCTTTGTACCACTTGTGACGTCATCAATTTAAATGTCATCAGATATTCTTGATAAGCTGATAGTAGTGCTAGGCTAGCCC